CCTGAGAGAGGGAGACAAAGTTCTTCTTCAGAAACCGAAGTCAGACAAGCTGTCACCATCATTTGAAGCCACACCCTATGAAGTGGTCAACAAACATGGAGGTCATGTGGAAATTAAGTCTCCTGCTGGCATTCACTACAAAAGAAATGTTACCCATCTACAGAAGTATGTGGAGGACAAATCACAGGAAACAGAAACCAGCAATCCTAAAGGGACTTTGTCAAAAGACCCAGAAACTAATCAGGAAGAGGAACCAAGAGTTTCAACTCAGCGTTATGCGTCGCGGCCTAGGCACAATCGTCAACCTGAGAGACTAAAAGGTTATGAACTTGGTTAAGACTTTGTTTACACAATGGACAGTTCTTGCGAAGGACATTTCACCTTTATGAAAATGTCATTTTGTATTGATTTAAGTCTTGGACATTGGATCATTTTTCCTTGAGTTAGTAGCCATTGAGAGACTGTTATAGTTTGTATTGTTATTTTGTTTAAGAAACCGGACTGGACAATTTATTCGAAAAAGGGAGAGATTGTAGTATCGATGATGTAATTGTGTACGGTCGAAATGAGTTATGGGTAATTAAAAAGCACATGGTCAAGTGTCGAGTTGAACCTGTTGTTGTGTGCATTTATTTTGGTTAAATCCGGATGTTTCACTGACCGTGAAACACTACAGTTCTGTCTCAGATCATGGGAGAAATAAAAAACATCTCTTTGATTTTGCAAAGTACGTGTTATTTCTCGCGCGGTTTGTACGATGGCTGCGGACCTCAAGACTACGTGTTTTCAAAGAAAAACGCAGGAATTTTTTGGAGAGTGGTTGCAGAGAAATAACCTATCAACATTTATGTCTGTCATCAAGCTATGTTTTAAAATTTCAAACGAATGTGCGTATGATGCGTACTCGAATGTTTTTTTTTGGCAAAAGAATGAAAGCAATATTCCTTCAGCCTATAGCTTTAATAAGAAGACAACTTAAATAGACCGTATATGAAAACGGATACAAGGCTTTTACTCTTTAGATAAACAGAGATTCACTCCAGAGTGTTCTTATTACAGTGTTCTATCAAGGTGATTCAGAGCTTTTTTCTTCCTTTTCGTTTTCGAATTTATTGTTCATGTTTTCACTACATTATGGCATGTATTATCCTTCCCTCAATAAATGTTGTCAAAACGTCTCGTTTTGATATCGTGCGGATATTGCTTTCAAAAAGATGTACCCAAACAGACGTATATGAGTTCGATCAGGAGCTCGGGGATGGGAAATTGTCTCTTTCTGCTTGCCCGGGGGTGGGAAATAGACCACCAAGAAACTAACAAATTGCAAATCCCCGGAGATACGTCCGGGGGCGGGGGGTGGGCATGGTTACAGGTCAAACTGAACAATGCATTAAGGGTCAATTTCCACTATCGCGCAACTTTTGCGTATGTACACACGTCAATTTTATGTGGGTAAATATAATGGGGGAAATTAATGTACACCCCGCTTCGAAACACAGGCTACAATAAGGCTATGCCTACAAACCGGAGAGCTTTATGCATGCACCCACGAGAAAAACCTTTCCGGTACCGTACAGTATGAAGGCAACTGCATAGACCTCGAACAAGTCCTTCACACAAATCGAACATCGTCACCGAAGAGAGGTTAGCCGAGAGGGTCTGGTGCACTAATTTCCAATCCTCACTCATTTTTGAATATTCACTTCCCTCTCAGTGTGTTCCAGTCCTCGCTCCTGCTCATTTTATTCCGTCAAGGTGTGAATACCTGTTCACACAACTACGAAGAAACCTCTCCGATATGTGACGATCCAATTTCACGCTCGCAGACTCTCTCTCCGTTACAAAAATCGTTCCCAAATCTCCGTTCTTATATGTGAACAGAAGCCCTATCTGCTATGGTTTTCTTGTCGACGTAAGAGCTATGCGGAATAGAGTGAACAAAGACTAAAAACGCTCAGCTCATTGCAGTGGTTCATTGCAGTACAGTCTCCGTGGTTCACATCTGAGACAGTGAAATGACAGAGCGAGGGAGGAGCATTATATTGTTGACAGGTTTCAGGGCGAATAGAGAAGTGTTAAACCTTGGTTGCGGTATTTATACTACCTCCTCAGGCCCTCCTCACACTTTATAGATCCACATATCCCAGGGTTGTAGCATAGAGCAGGAAGTTAACGCAAGAAAACGTTCACCAAACTAGCCCCACGAGTAACGCAAAGAAACCGCTTTATATCTTCAGTCGAACTACTCGTTAGATCCTCTCAACTTTCAACGAATGGATAATAAATGTAACACATATTAACACATATCAACGTCGCTCCATAAACCAATATTATTATTGACGATACGGAACCTCGTCCCCAGGGCTTTTCCCTAAAAAAAACGGGAGAAGCCCTGAGGACGAGGTTGGACGATATGTTGAATGCAGTTAGCCTGCAGACTAAACATACATTACATCGCGGGTTATAGCATCACCAAAAGTCAGAACTAAGATCACCTTAGGTGATAGGTCGTTTAGAGCCTGTTTACAAGGAGAGAGGGTTACCCTTGTGCTAGGGTTACTCTAGCATGCGGGTTAAATTTAGCTCTGATTTACGTGTAAATTTCACAGGTAGGTTTACCCTATCATCCGGGTCAACTTTACCAACTTTCCTGACGTGTTTCGTCATGTGTGGCATTCTTTGTTACGGTCCAAGATTTGAAAATAATCTTGAAGTTCTCTATGGAAAACACGCGAAAATCACGAAAAAAAGGGAAGATATTAGGGCCATTTATACGAGGAAAAATAAGACGCGGCTTAGCTAAGACGCGTCTTATTAGATAAGACATGCTCGTATAAATGGTACAGTTCGCGTCTTATTTTTCCTCGTATAGATGGCCCTATTATCATCGTAGACAGAATATAACTTTTTATTTTTCAGATGTTTATAGTTAAACTCAGAAATTGGACAATACCGTTCAAAGTCACGCATGACGGCGGAAAGTTGACCCGGGTAGGCGAGTTATCCTTAGCAGAGCGTTTACAAGACTGGTAGGGAAACCCTCTTGCTAGAGTAACCCTAGCCTTGTAATCACGTGGTGTGAAAAAAGACGAAATATGCGAGTGCTAGAGTACCTCTCTTGCTAGGGTAACCCTAGCACAAGGGTTACCCTCCCTCCTTGTAAACAGGGCCTTAGTTGTGCCGCCCCGAGACTTTGGAACCTTTTTCCATCTACGATGCGGTCTATTTCCAATTTAAATCTGTTTAAAAATAGACTTAAAACTTTTTTATTTAGTAAGGCTTTTAATTAGGAATTTTAGCAATGAAATTTGGGTTGTATTTTCCATCTTGAATCAATTTCTTATGTAAGGCGCAGTTGAATATTTTCATAGAAACTGCACGGCACAAATTTCTGTTAATAATAATAATAGCAATCACGTGACAAACTATTTGGAATTGCTGCCAGGAAAGCATGTTGGACCAGCCATTGTTTTATTATTATTAATTCATCTGTTTGTCTGCCTCTTCTTCGGGAAGCTGGAAACTAACTTGGCGACGGAGAGGATTGTGAGAGGTCCGCTCCTGCTGAAAAAAGGTTCCATATCAACATTTCTTCTGTTATGTTACAAGAGTTCACTGAAGTCTTCAGTTTTGTGATTGAATATTGATTAGCTGTATTAAGACAGGCCAGGGAAAGAGCTTGCCCTTTTCACCACGCAGATCGTAATTTATATCGAGGAAGTTATAAGTCGTATAGCTCGGATATTGTCAGTTATAGGTGTGGAACGACAATGTAACGACAACAACAAACATAAATGACGACAAATTGGACAATAAACAAAATAAAATATCAAAATAAAACAAAAACATGACGACAGCACAAACCTTTGGAAGGCACATGCAAGACATTTACGGGTCTTGGTTATTCTAAACAAAGCAAAACTGGTTAAAGACATGTATAAGGGTGCCTAGTAGACTTTGCGAATCCCGAAAAGGGCTCGAGATTAAAGCAAACAAGGGGCTCATAATCTAGGTCAAACCATGGTGATAAAACTCAACCCACTTACTTGCAAAACAAAACAAACAAACAAACAAACAAACAAAAACAACCAAAGAACCAAATTTGAGGCGCACAACGTTAGTGTTGTGGTTCAGTTTTATCCTTGGTTTAAATTCTATTTTCCTTTGTTTTAAACTCATTATCATATACTACCATACCCCAAAACAAAGGGAAATAAAATTTAAACTAATGATAAAATTGAACCACAACATATACACTCAATTCCCTTAAGGGTAAGTTCATTTTAATTCTCTCAATGGTAGGGTTGTTTTTTCTTATATTAGGCAGAATATAATTCCTTGTTTGTTTTTAGTATGATCCTGGGCACCTTCCACAGAAGAGTGATATAAACTTAATGTGATGTAAGTAATGTTCTATTTGTGAAATAAACACCATTGAAACACAAGATCATGTCCCTACTTTTACTGCTGCGAAAACGCGATTTATCATGTATCCATAGCAACAGTGACCTTTTAACGCGTGAAGATAACTGTTATTATTACGTGTTAAGATATATTTTCGAGCGAAATCTCACCTGGCATTTCATTGGTGCTTATAAAAAAATAAGTGTTTACATTATACGGAAAAAATTTAAGTTTATAAATTATTTAAAAAATGCTGACCAGCCAGCTTGTTCCAGGCACCAGGCGCATTTTAAAATTCATCTGTAATGTTTATCAGTTTCGACAGTGCACTTTTAAGATCACTACATTCACGCTCCCTTAACGGAAAGTCATGGAGATTTTAAGCAGGCGGATTTTGTGTTCTAGTGAAACCTGTAAATTCATAACAAGTTGCAAACTACTTTGTTATTAACACGTAGCCCGTTAACAGCCAAAGCAGACGATGTATTAGTACTTGTCAAGCTTTTCTAATTTACTGTATTTTACGTTTACTGGTTACGTTCAGCTACTTTAAGCCTTCTTTAATTGGTTACAACTGTTACAGTATCCCAGTCCCTTTCACCTATTACATCTCTGTATTTGTGTCATTAGCAACGTTAATGAAAAAAGATATTGTGACAAAAAAGAGGCTTTAAGTTGTAAAAGTGTACGTAGTGAATGTTAAAGGTTTTTTTTTCCCTCTTACCTATAGCTTACATTAACACCTCAGTTAATGTTACACCACTAAACTTCTAACATTCTCACTATTAAAGCTGTCTTCTATTTTATTCAAGTTTATCTAACACGTTATTGTCGAATGCCTCTGATGTCTCCAGGTAACCCCTTAGAGTCAAAACTATCGGAACTGACATTGTTGACTGAAGGGAGGCCACAAACTCAAACCTTCAGTGGTTTGATTTTGTGTAGCCCTGGTAGCTAGTTTAAACTAACTCAACTCCCAGATGAAATTTCCACCTCATTCCAAACCTCATTACGTCTTTTAATTTTTAATGTCCAAATTGAATTTAGATAGTGTTACACCTACTTCCAGAGTTGTCCATTTATCAAAGCTACCGCTAGACTTTTGGAGGGAAAGTCACATGCAGGCATGAATATAACTATGCAAATAGTAATTGTTGTATTTATCTGTCACCTTCTTTATCTTCCTGGATAATGTTGTTCACAGCTTTTAAGTCTGTGAAACGCAGTCCTGTAGTATGTCTGTGTAATAGTCAGGTCAAATATCCACAGCACAACAATCTGCCATAACTTTGTATAAAGCACCCAGCATCGTTAATTTTCTCCCTTGCTCCTGCATTAATTACCACTACAGGCTACCTCACTGAAAAACCTGACCATTTAACAACAATGTACAATTCTACTGTCAGGCCTCGTGTTTATTACTTTTTCCCCATTACATAGCACATCATGTTTATTTCTAGCTCTATGGTAAAATATACTAACTAATATTCTGATCTTCAAAAATATACATCGTTGCCATATTTGTAATTATATCCATTTAAAGAGAATTTCAGTGAATTAAATGAGCATTTTTTCTTTCTTTAAGAGGAAAGCTACGTGGTAGGACAACCTCATAATTCATCATTCGTAAGATTCGATGTATCATCGTTCGCTACAATGTCCACAGAAATGCTTCCTGTGGATAAAATTTCCGAATTAACATCTTCTGTTTTATCTTCCCCTGTTGTATCTTGGGTCGCTTCATTTGAAAGTTCGTGATTTTCACTAGGCGCCGTCGGTGCTGGCTGTTCAGCGGTATCGGTCACGTGATCGTTTGTTTGAGGAATGTTACTTACAGTCTCCTGTTTGACTGTTTGAGGTGACGATTCAGACGAATGTGATTCCCCCTCTGCCACAGAAGTATCTTTTGGATCTGATTGAAAAATAATAGTAAAAAGTGTTATTGGCTATAAATTGAGATAATACAGTGATTATATGATGAGACATATTCACCCACGAAAACAAACTGATTACATAGGTAAGAATTTAATAAAGGCAAAAACCATTACGACTCCAACCAGTGAGGAGTGCCGGATCGTGTGTAGGCCTGGTTCAGTTAAAATCTTTAAAGAACAGAAACCTGATTTTTATGATAATGGGTCAAGGATTAGCAAAAAACAAATAGCAACATACAATTGCCCGTATAACCTTGCTTCAAAGGACTACAGACAAGGAATAGTAATCTTCAAGCTGCGCGTATAAATCCGCTTAAACCATTTCTTTTATTTCACTTCTGACTGCCGTAACTCTTAGTTTACTTCTTACTTTACCTTCTAATACATAATGAATCTCAACCCCAGTTATTAATTATATCAATTTCCTTTATTTCGTTAAGAAGCTGGTCCATACATTTACCAGAGTGGCTAATAATGTCTCTGTAATTCAAATACACTAACTTACTTGGATAGATTAATCATAGAAACCTGAGCACATGAAGTCATTTTAGTTTATCAGCACCAGATGACGATTGCAAATTGTGTATTACAGCGCCAAAACATTGCTGTTGTAATTGTTGTCAGTTGTTGACGATGTTGATGTCTAAACCTTACATGAAATGTCCGACAAAGTTATACTAAACGTTACGATGGCACAAAATGATAAAAACGCCATAACCCAATATTAGAGATCGCGAGGCAAAAAAAGGAATCTCTATGAAGTTTTTACTGCAGGAAACTACTTCTTTGCTTTGCTTGGCTTGCTTTTTGGGGGGATTTTATAAAGGGGTTTATGTTAACGCAAAAAATCTCAATACAGTGGCGTGCATGAAGCTCCGTTACACTTACCAACAACAACCACTTTTTTCTCGAGGTTGTTATCTTCAGAAGGCCTCCGTTTGTCCTGTGAAGGTCTCTTGAAAGCTGTTTTTTCGTGGTTTTTGTCGGCTTCCGTGAACGATCGTGCTTTTCCCTTGTCGGATGTCACACTGTCACTAGTAAGCGTTCTTTCCCGTTGAGCGCGGTCTTGCTCAGTCATGGATCGAACACGGTTCAATGCAGTTGCGCCGACATTTCGCTTCCGAGGGGAAGCTTTGGCTGAAAACAAGAGGATCAGTAATCAAAAAAGAACGGGGCTTTCTTTGGGGTGTTATTGGTGTTGGCAACTATCGTTGGTTACATATTGTTCTGTGGAGTGGGCAATGGTCAGTGTCTCTTTAAACTTTTGCTATACCCACTTACCCCTCCCCCCTTCCCATCGAAACGTTAACACCAACTTCAGCTAGGTCCGGGGGAGGGAGTTAGTCAGCAGTTTCTAAAAATCTTATACTGATACAATTCTAGAAGCCAGCACTCGAATATTTTACTGCTATTTATAAACGTTTGTAACTGGTTAATTAAATTCCAAGGTAAAACGTTTAACAGTCTCCAAACTTCCACTAAAACTTTTGCAACATTTGTCCAACACAATTCTGAGATTACAGGAGTTTTCTATGGATAGGTAGAATATAAGAGGGGTTTTCATGTGTTTTATAGGACTCTAGATGAAAAGTTTCAAGTTCTGGGAGAAACGCGAACCTGGCAGTTTCTTGAACACGCGATTGGACATAAAGTCTTGGAATCTATTGCAGTAAAAGGACGGTCTGTGGACAGAAACTGTGTCCTGCAAAAAGAAAAAAACGATTATGATTAAATAACGATAAAAATAAAGCGTTTTTCACTAATGTGGCCACAGCTTCTAACTATTTTCGAATCCCCCACCCCCCATAAAAAAGTTTGCTTAAATTATTGTTTTTCAAATGTTCTTGGGAATATTTAATCCTCCCAGGAGCATTTGAAGACAATAGCTTATGCAAGATTTTTTTTTTGGAGGGGAGGGGGTGGGGGGACAAGCAGAGTGCATTATGGGGACTCAAAAATAGAGAATGGTACAAAACGAAACGGTTTACATGAGAAAAGAGTTCAATCCCCACTTCCCCACAGGATTGGATTGATTCATTTATATGGCCAACTTTTCTTTGTTTAGGTGCGCCAATATAGCGGCTGTGACGTCATGTAAAAAAGCTCTATATTAGGTTTCATTTGACTGAGTGGAAGAAAGTAAGGCTATGATTCCAGCCAATCAAAACAAACATCGACGATACAAAGAGCCAATCAAAACTTGTAGCTCTTTAACAACAGGTGGGTTGGTGCTAAACGAAAAAGAAATATTTTGATGTTTGGCATTACTACCCGCGCTGCACTATCACCCTATGAGGAGTGCACTTGATTGGTTAACCCTTAAAAAGCTACAAAAACCTTTTTCACTTTTTACTGAATACGACGTTTTAACTATGACAGTATTTTCCTAAGTTTTGTAGCAAATATGGGCTGCAGGTCTGTGTATTAGGTAATGTTCCTTTTTACAGATGTCATAACAAACAAAATGAGTACAGACAAATTAGACTCGACTAAATTCAAATTTCTTACCCCGTCATGGACCAGAGATTTCCAACCATGTTCTAGTTTCTTTACTATTCTGTTAACGAAATTAACAAGTCACGTCAAGTCAAGTGGTGCGGGCGCTCCGATTTATCCAGCATTACAGCAATAAACTCATATAGCTAAGGACAATTCAGCGCACCCCATACTACTACAAAATTAGTTGCAACTTACAAATATTCACGAATACACTCCTCTTACCTGTAACTTTGTAATACATCTATAATTCCGAGAAACAAAAGAAGTTTTTCGCCTTTTGCGTTACGAGCAGGAATACCTCCAACCCTGAAAAAAGAAAAACATCGAGACATTAACGTCTACTGTACTGTGGGCTTTTAATACAGAGGGTTATTGACTTTAGGCTGGTCTTTACTTACGGCCTCTCCTCTGTTTCATCGTCTTCTACAGTGATCGCTTCCCAAGCTGAACTAAAGCCTTCTCTTCCTTTCAAACTCCTCGCACGTGCCAGCGGTCGTCGAACACCCTCTACATAATAAATAAATAGATAAATGAATAATATATTTATTAATTAATTAAAATTGTTAACTTGTGACTGAAGAAACGCTTGTCTGAGTGAGTCAACAATAAAACAAATGGAAGCTAATGAAAAGCGTGGGCGAGGATTTGAGCTGGGAACTATCGTAAACAAATCCAGCGAGCAGTTAGAGCGGGAGTTGAACTCGGGGCCTTCGAATTGCAAGTCCTGCGCTCTAACCACTCAGCCACGCTGCCTCCTTCTCGGCAGTTTGCTGACTGGCACGTCCCCAGTAACAATTCCAGAAATAATGCAGGATGTATTTCGGATCCAGCTCCTTTCTTGTTTCTAAAAAGTGGGAACTATCACAGGATATGAGTCCCTTTTGTACTCATCACCATACTGGTGCAAGTCTGTGCAGAGTTGCAGAGATGTGTGCAGAATGAATCTAACCTGGACTGCTTGCTGTAGTTTCCTGCTGCTGCTGCTGTCCATTGGATGGTGCATCATCAGGGCCAGGGGATAAGAGACCTGACGGAGAGTCAGGCTTCATTGGCATATCAGTTGATGGTTCACTCATTGACCGTTTAACTCGTGGGCGTCCAGGCTCATCTATTTTGTGAATTGCCAGAAGAAGGCTATAATCCATGATTTTAAAACTTTGCAGTACCTGGAAAACAAAAGCAACAGACCCAAGCAAATTTCTTTAAAGTTTGGGAATAGAAAAGGCAGACATAATACAACCTCTTAACAACGCCCACTTTGGGGGAACAATTAAGGTACATGTTTAAGTGGCCAATATGAAGAGGTAGCCATTCAGCAGAAGTTTTGATTGTACTGTTATGGCCTATTCCTTTTAGACAACAAAACAATTCTTAACAAAGCCAGCATAAGCCGAATGCATATACATGTAAAACATTCTTAAGCATTAATCAGACCGCAATACAATACAGTTGGTCCCAATTGTTCAAACGTTAGATAACGCTATCCCCTGGATATCCAACAAATAAGTATTACAGGAAACCAATAATAGAGATCTAGTGGATGACATTATCCACCTTTTGAAGATTTGAAGACCTGATTCTTATTTTTTTTTCTCTGGGGATGGGGGCGGGGGGCGAGGAAAAGGAAGAACTGTAGTTTGATAACAATAAAAGTACATCTACCAGTTCTTACTAAAACTACAGTGAAGTGGACACAGATAGGAATACGTAGACAATAATGCACTTAAAATACCCTGCAATCTCTTTGTATTGTCTTCAATACAGCATTATATGTGTCAGGTTCAAGGAAAAGTCCCTAAAAAGAAAGATAGGAAGTTAACAGTTTGTTTTCTTTACATCTCCTAGGTAAAAAGACTTGAGTGAACACTAAAATATTAATTGTTACTCTTGAGGTAAAAAATTTATATGCCTCAGAGAAGTTAAAATTAATAAGGTAACTTTTGAATACAATGTCATGTATAATATTATTTACCACTGAGACCTAACATTAACATTGTCATCAACACTGTTTTCATCACCTTCAACAGCTTTTCTACAACAAATAAATTTTGCATAAAACAAGATTATTACTTCTACACAAGGTAGGTTTTTTCAAGCTTAGAAATGAAGGCTCCCTGTTGAAATATTACAAATGCCTGCAAGTTACAGTTACATGTACATGTACCTCTGGGTGATCATTTAAGAAATCCAAGTCTTTTAGTGTAGGTGTTTCCTTTGCACGTTCAGCCTTGGATGCTTTTCTTTTGTATGTGGAACCCTGTTAACAAAGAAATTTTAGTTGACAACTTAGGGCATGTTCAATTGACTGTATTCCGGAACACTATCACAAATAAATGGCATAAACCCTAGAAATCATTATTTTGTGTTCGTTGCATTGCAAAATCTAGAAATCTGATTAAAATTAAATATTGCACTGTTTGTAGCGTTTAGAGGGTCCAAAGATTATCGCACAAAGGATTTTTAACAAAACTTTTGTCTATTCTTATTCCAGAGTTCGATCAATTAGTGCACCATTAGTAACATTCCCATGATGCATTTGATACTTCAGGAAACCAATTTATTCTGTTCAAGATAAGTTAACAAGGAACAGATCCAGACTGACTTCCACTGTATTGTTACAAAAATGGACGTAATATGACTAAAATGACCAATATAAATGAAATGGCACTCAGGGAATACAACAAGTTCCCCTAAAAAGCCTGAACCACAACAACTCAAATCATTAACACAAGTACAGTACCATGGTAAAAATTAGAACATGCAAATTATTCTTGTAATGGATTTGCTGGGTTTCTGCTTTTAATGTGACATGATGATGATCACTGACTCAAAAAGGTCACTGACCCAGGTGGATAAACAGAAAGATAATGTTTGAAAGAGTTTTAAGTAAGTTTCCTCAACTTATCTAGTCCCATTTGCACACCAGCACAGGTAACTTGTCAAAGATGTGAAGCCTATCCTAGTGGGATTTCTCATCTAGTGTAATCACAAGACAAGTACAAAAGAGTACAATACTGAAAAATCAAGTACCTTCAGATCATATTTGAAATGAATTTTGTAATCTGTTGGTAGAAGATTATTCATTATCACTAGTCTTATGTTCTTCCCTCCACACTGTTGAAAAAGAAAAAGAAAACAAATCTTATCATTATTTTCACACTATACATCGAAATTCAAGTTGAACATGTTTAAGTTGAGGAGGTCTGTAATGGCACTAAAGGGGTTTACATGTACCACTACAACAACATGACTGTTTTTACACATAAACAGTTATTAAATTTAAAAAAAATTCATTACCTGATAACAGTACAAGCCAAAGAACTTTGGCAACAGTGTTCTTTTGTTTTGGTTTAAATTCTGCAAAAAGAAAATAGTAAATTATAAACTTAAAAACTTTTGCAACAAATTCACACCTGATTCTGTCACATGAGACAAACTATGCCACAACCACAAGTAAAAATTATGACAAAGGTTGAAAACAGCACAACATATATTTTTTTTCAGATGACAAAATTCCTTGGTAAAACAGTGAATGGTTTGAACCCGGGGAGTCATTACAGGGGGAATATAATCATCCAGGTTAGTAAAGTCATGAATAGGCCTGTCATTGACAGTTACTGACATTTCCACAACCTGTGCTGTAATCACAGTGCTGTTTCTGAATGAGTGGGCCTCTGCATGGGTAACTGCCGACGTCCATTTTGTTGCATGTTTCTCATCAAATTGTCTGTTTTGCACGCAAATTGTTGCATATCAAAAATTTTCTTACATGGTAATGCTACAAGCAAGCTCAGCGCAACTATAAAATAAGCAAAACAAAAACTCTGAACACGCACCACATTTTTTGACTGGTTTCTTTGCCATCATTGTACAGCTAACATTGTCAAACTTGATTGAAATAGCAATGCGATAGTCACTTTAATCTCTGAGATCATCGCTGAACATCAATAGTGATCGTTGTGACTTCAGTTCCGCTCGGAAATATCCATTCAGAGGCTCATGGCTACCACAAAGGTTACAGTCACTTTCTACAACTCACAGTCCTATTCAGATCTTAAATCACTGGATAATAATATTCCTCCTACATGTGCTTATGAATTTCCTTGCAGTCTATAAATTATTTTATCAGCTGGAATGTCCCCTTGTTTTAGCTCCACAAAGCCACAGGTTGGTACTCGGGTAAGTTTTGGGTTCGTACGTTTCACCCATGTCTCCAAAGTTGGACCATGTTTCAGAATTAAAGTGCACTCCAAATAATACCCCATTCTAGAAATAGGCCAATTCTTAGTGATGTACAGTGGCCCTCTTGCTCTAAAGCTTTAGTGGGTTTGAAATAAAATACTGGTATCAAACCCTGTTCTTGGAAAAGTAACGTATACTGACATCCCATTCTAGATGGAATTCCTATAATATTAGAACCCTCTTTGGCTGCACATACATACACTTACAGTATTACCACCCTTTCCCTTCCCCTTCCCTGTCCCTGCCCACAAGGGAAAATCAGTACATGTATAATACATGGTATGTTTAAATTATACACATCAGAAAGGCTTTGAAGTATTAAGATAATAAAATGGACAACACTTACTAAATAATATCCTGGAAGAAGCTTCTGAAGAAATTCTGCTTCCTTGTGTTGTACAGTTTTTACAATAAACTCATCATCATTTGTTACATAAAATAATGAGCCACTTGCTCCAGAGTTGGCAAGTTCTACAAGTGATTCATTACAGAGAGCCATCTGGAAAGACACAGAGGAAAATACTGAGCAATCAACTCTCTCTGCAGATCAGACACCTCTATAACCTGCATGGACACCTAGGGTTGGTCCCTGCCTTTGTTTACTCCTTTTAGTTGACTCTCTTTTACGACAGACACATCATGCCAGTCCAAAAGGTCTCTGACTTTATAATAGAGTGAGTTGACTGTATTTATAGATTTCCACAGAAATTAATGAAGTCACTTTGCTATTATATATTAACAAGTATTCACAAACTACAAGTAACTATTCTAAGTTCAAAATGAAATTCAGGTTAAAAGTGGTTTCAAGAATTATAGTGTATTTTGTAGTTTGATTCTTAATTTCCTTTGTTAAGAGACAATAACATTGATTATTGATCTAATTGGATCACTCTCGATTAGAAAACTGAGGATCAAACTAATCTACAATGTACCATTCTCAGGTAAATTTCATTTTGAACCAAAATAATTATAAACGTTAAGTGTTTTGTCTATTGTTTGTTTCACAATTGTCACTTAGATATTGATTGTGATGTTGTGACTGCGTACTGCAACAATAAACATTACAGTTACAAAATAACTGTAGACTTCCTTATAAAATTAATAACTGCAGACAATAGTTCTAAACATCATCTAGTACATGTGCAGTGTAGATGCACCTCAAGCAGTGTTGGGACAGCTGTTGGTGCCACTAAAGGTTGACCTGTGCTTTTCATTTTGCTTCCAACAATAGTTAAACAGACATTTAACTATTTACTACTCAAGAAATACCGGACGAGACACATCTATTTTTAAACTGCATACTAAAATGTGTTTTAAGGTGCTTGCTTGTACGTACCATAAATTCTGCAGGATTCATTCCAAATAAATCACGAAAATACCTATAAAGCACACAAAGAAGTAAACACTACTTGCAAAAATACAGTATATGATCGTAACACTGTCCTGACATGTAAGTAAAAACAAAAATCAACGTTAATGTTGTTATCATCAACTCTGCAACAAGCCCGGAAGCAAGTTATGTGTCAGTACATGTCAATATACAACAACTAGCAAGTTACAATGTACATTCTACCCCCATAAAATACACCATTAACAAATGAAAGTAAATAATAATATTTTCTTATACACAATATCACATTACACTAAATCTTACTAGTCTGATAGAAGAATATATACCATATAATATTTTACCTAAATATGACAACAATAAATAATTATTGTGTAAGCACATGGCAAGTGATTTAAGAGGACATGAGACTCACCTAAATGCAACTGGGGAGTACGTTTTAAACTTGAAATCACTAAAGCGATGAGATGGCGTTTCTCTTGTTCCCTCACTGTAAAAGAAAAGTTCAAAAATGTGTATATACACTGTGAGGATCAGATACAGCTATTCACCCCCCTGAAAATTTCGCCAAAAAAGCTGTTTTAAATGTAAGGCTAGTCGAGCCATTTTCTGGCCACTGCCTTGCTATAAAGAGCTAAAACTAACCACAAAGCCGTTTACAGGTTGTACACTTGGTGGCCTTTTGATCCCAATGCAAAATATTAGCTTCCAAAGTTCGGGTATGCGCAGAAAGCAAAATTTCTACAGTCTTTACTTCTTCATTTTGCTTTCTCTCCTCTCCTGAGCTTCTTTTACTTTTCTTGCCTCTTTTTTTTCTTTTGCTGGGCATTTTGGTGACAGGAAAAGTTTTGGGGAAAACTTTAAAGATCTTAGGATTAGACGAAAGGAAAGGTAGGACATGGGTAGTGGAATAAGATTTTCATGGGAATTTTCGGGTCAGGGTTACAAGGTTTTGCCTTAATTTCATTAGCCTTCTTGACTGAATTGTGTTCGTTCTAGTATGGTTTTAAAGATCTCTTCACCCTGCACAAGTTAGCTGAAAAAATTGTCCTTGAATGCTAAAACTGATGACAGCACAAGTGGAAGAAGTGCTCATGGATCCGCATCCATTGGACAGTTACAGGCAGTTCAAGGGTGTATGGGTTAAAAAGAGTTGATTGCTACATAATCACAGCTACAGTATAAACAGTTACATCATACTTGAAAAACAAAACTACAAAATACACAATCACCTTGGAAATGAGACAGTTTCAACTTCAGCAAAATCCTGCATCAAAACATCACGGTCAGGTTTGGCTGATAACCTTCCAACCTTCAATGTAAAACAACAAAGAAAAGTTTTTCACAGCACATAAAATCCCTTTCCAATTACCTGACTAAAATTAAACCTAATAAAAACTACCTAGGGCTGTGGATGTTTATAGGGTGACAAAATCACCAATTCAATAGCAACAGGTCTGCAAATTTGTTTTGCTGGAAATATCTGTATGCCATGCATAACTGTTGACCAAAAGCATAGTACCTATAATGCGTGCCTTTTCATAACTGGTTTTGGCTCCCACAGCAACCATAGATTTTATGAATTAACCTATAATTGTATAACCTTGCCTTTGAGTTACGCATAGTATTTTCATTAAACTATGTTGTTGGTTAGACATAAAACATATTATCTTTTTTTCTGATGCTACCACTGTTCTTCTAAACAATACAGGGCACTCACTAGCAAGTGTTAGAGACTTCTTGTTCACGATTTACCAATAAAAAATATAAAGATAGTACACCTTGGGTGTAGAATGAACTTGTATTTGAATTTCTGAAACACTCTACAGCCAGCAGGTGTGCTTATATGCCAGTCAAGTACTCATAATTACAGTCTGTAAACCTAAAAAGCTATTTTTGGCTCATGCAGAGGAACTCACTGTATATCCAATCCCTAGTTGAATAGCTGACATAAGAGCTGATGAAGGAGTCTAAAATAAAACAAACAAACAAACAAAAATATTGTGAATACAATATCACCATATTATGCTGACCAGTAATAAACACTATAAACATTACCATACTTAAGTATTAAATGAAATTGGACAAATCTGTAGTGAGATTCTAATTAACTTACCTTATTATAGGAAATTAACGCTCCATGAAACAAAAGGCATTGGAAATAACGTGACTTAATCAATGTGAATTAATGGCACGTGACTTTCAAGTAAAGGAAATTAATGCAAAAGAGAAGGGTAACATTTCATAATGAAGGGATGCCCTTTAATGCGACAGTCACAAAGAAACAAAACTTGTTGAGATAAAAGGAACAAAGACAAACATATAATCCAAAATGGAAACTTTTTTGTGGTACTTTCCCTAAGCGTATGAAAGGGGTCAACCAAAGAAATTTGACCACTTCGAGGGTTCTTCACAGTTCATTGTTACTGCTGGATCTCCACCTTGATAAAATACTTCTATTCCTTAGGAACACATCAAGAATGTCAAAAGTGTATCAAGAATTTCAGACTGAAATACTGGAAATAAAGGTAGCAGAAATTAACGCTCCATTAATTAATGGCACGGAAAGTAATGTTCACAAAAATTAAAGCAACTTTAATTAACATGAATTTTTGAAATCCACGTTAATTCCATGAAGCGTTAATTTCCTATGATAAGGTAATAGGTGTTACTGATAAATACTCTGATTAATGTAATGCTGTGCCTAGTAACAGTGACAGTCTATTCGGATCATCAATGGGATGCCTGTTCATCAAGACACTAAGAAAAGGGGGACAGGCCTCAAAACTATTTTTTCTTGTCCCTGTATGCTTCATACCACAATATGCTGCCCAAGTTAACTTACCTTTTTGTAAGTTGTTTCTCCAGTTTCATCAACTCGACGATGGCCTATCTTGGCTCGTGGTGTTGAAGGATTCTTCTCCTTATCTGCTGATGTAAAGGACTGTGTACGAGGCATCTGACAACAAAACAATAACAGCCAAGTGTCATTAACAGCATATTATAATTAATAATAACACAATGATTGATACTTTTTAACTAATAATTTAGCTATAAAAAATTGCATGAAAACTATTTGGTTTTCATTTCTGGCTTAGTTGTAATATTTTGAACAAAGATGTTAATGGTGGAATTTATGAAGCCAATTGGATAATTAAGTAGGCAGAAGATAGGGCATAACTTGGCACATTCCTCATTAGAAGGCTTCTGTCCTAGATGACAGGGCATAGGCCCGATGTAACATGGTCTTTAATAAACAGGTTCTGTAATGTTTGTCTACATGGCTTTGAAAATGCAAGAGCAGAGCAGTGTTGACCGGCTTTCTGTAAACACGGGTTTCAAGGTCTATTCCATTCTTAATCATCTCAATTCCAGTGAAAGGGATCTTATTATCAGCGGCAAGTTCTATTGTAACCTTCAGGCTCAGGTGTAGACCATTCAGCATAGTCAGAAAAGTGAGCAGTAGCATCAGTGCTAGGCATTCAAGCAAGAGTATCATCTATACCTCAAAGAAAAACTCACACGCAATGGTATGGTACCCTCTCTGTATAAGAGGTATAATTCTTTAGCTTCATTAGGATTGATACAAGCTTTCAGATTACAGATAGTCTATATAGCTTATAATCCTATTGGTAGGGAAGGTGGACAATGCTTATCAGTCTGACAATCAGTTTTTTTACCTGTTAAACAATTGTCATATTGTGGTTAAATTTTATGAGTAAAATGCCTTGTTTTGGTCTCTGCGGTTTTTAAGTAGGGATGGAGGTGGAAGATGGGGGTCATGTATTTTGCCTTTAGAACTTGTAGGATATGGAACAAGGAGAGCCAGGAAAAAAAAAAAACCAAATAACAGGGGGGCGGCTTCCAAGAATTGCATGGGAAAAACTAAAATCATCATAGCCCCCCAACTCTACATCAATTTAGTATGAATCCTACCATGCAAAATTGTTTTGCTTCAAAATCACAGTCCTTTGTATTATTCTGAATTCTCCATTCATCATGTCTGACCACAAGTAGTAGGATTTGTCAGACATAAAGCAAAATTTAGTTGGACATTGTCTGATGACCAACTGTTACATTTGCATCTCTGGGATATGCATTACAAATCAACTTGGAGATTAATTTATCATGGGAATTGATATTTTACACGATTTAAGATCAGCACAAAATTGAACCAACAAAATAATAACACAAGATTTGTGACAATTTGCAAACACCCCTACACAAAACCAAAATCACTTTCTCAAGTCGAGGCACCATGGCTGCTTTTAATTCGGAAATCTGGATTAGATTTTAAAAATTAAGATCTTAAATTTTGCAATACATTGTGAAATCCAAAAACTAATTTTTAACACTGAGAAATCTGTCCTAAAGGTGATTTTCAATTAAGACATTGAACAATGTTCTCATTTTTCTGCCAATCAAGATGAACATGACAGACCATTGTTCATGAGAACGGTTTTTAAATGGTTTTTTGCACATCCTTTTTGCATTGGGAGTTCCTTCTAAAAACAACAACAACAAAAAAACAGAAAAAAGGAAATACAGTTTTCTTGCTGTCGAAATCTATTTTTGGCATTTCCCGTTTTATTACAAATCCAGGACTTATCAGTTATAGGCCAAGTTGCCCACAGTAAATTAATTACACTTTGTTCCAGAACTTCAAAGTGTTGCAAACTTTGATCTTGCAGTTTTGACACAATTTCATTTGAAAGGAGGAATGAATGAATGAAATTTCACTTTCCACCAAGGGTATTAGTGATAAATAGCAAAAATACCTCAGGTGAGATCTAAAAAAAAAAAAGAAAATTACATAAACATACTTTGCGAGGATTGACCTATAATGAATAAGAATCATTAACTCATCTAGGAATTGCTCGCTTTCAAGTGACCAAAACACTGACCTTAATTTTTGTAAATCAAGTACACACAAGCTAGTACAAAATGTACAGCCAAAAACATTTAACACGGTATTGTTCACCAAACAAATCTGTGTTATTATGTTATTCCGCCAGACTGCAATTTCTGCCCCTTTAATGTTTGAAGCGATATTACATGATTTGATCGATATAAGGTTACTCCTGAACCCGGAAAGATATTCCTGGAATTTTGGAGTCCACACGCTCACTTTCCGCATTTGCTATCGACCATTTTCACTTACATCTAAAGGTGCAGGTTTGCTCTTTGGCTTGGCTGATGCATTAACCATTGCTACTTTATAAGAGCTGGTCCCTTTTGCTGAAAAACAAAATAAGATATTTTATCTCACAAAGTCAATATGAGAGAGACAGTCGTGCAGAACAAAAATCACGAAGATTCACTCGTAAATACCCTTGTTTTTCTCCCACAACCGCGCCACGTTACCAAAATAAACATGATAAGAACCAAAGAAAAACATGAATTTCAAATAAATAAATAATATTCTCTGCATGATCATACCTGGTTCTAAATTCACGCTCAACCCAGTCGCGGCCATGTAGCTAAATTTTGTCACATTGGAAGTAGTAGCTTCCAGATAAATTATCTTCTACGCTCGATAGCATGCATGTCATACAATTTATAAACAATTTTTGGGTCGTTTCGGTAAATTTCTTCCCATATAATTTGAAGAAGAGGTAAGATCAAAAGAGAAATAACATAATTTTGCGAACACACTAGTACGTCCACCTCAAAGCAAAACAGCAAGTCCAAAGTTCTACCCGCACAGTGTTATGGGTATTCCCCACTCTCGTCAGTCAATAACTTCTCGGTAAAAGGTCGTAATAGCCTACTTGGGCCGATGACAACCGAATATCTACCGAGATGACTCGACTCCAGTCGCCGTCGTCCAAAACATGGCGGACTAAAGCAACACTATGATCTACTTTGCGAGGTTTTTCTTTGTTGGGAATTCAACTTGTAAGCCTCCATGGAAAATTTTGTTTTTTGGAACTGATCGATTTGCGGTACACCCACTGAAAGCGTTGATTGGAAATAAAAGGTAATAATGCAGTTTTGAAATTTGATGAAACGGACCTCTAGTCAGTTTCGCCGAGTTTCGCTATATGGTTCACATTATTTGCAAAGATTAAGCACGTGTACTTTGGTCACTCTACTACTTAAGTAGCAGTCGACTTAACACCTCAGGGAATCAAAAGTTTTCCAAGAACAAGTTCGAGTTCACGCTCACTTGAGACCCATTTATACATACGATGAAACTGCAGTCCAGAGTTTTTTTAGAACGATCTTGGATGCTTGCTCGTGACGTAAAAACTTAAGCTTACATTTATTGGGGTCATCTATTTAATATTCCCCTCTCCCTGTTGAGAAAATGAGGACAAATTATGAGTTTCATCAACTAAAAAACAAAGTTAAGTGCGGCAACAACTCCTCCCGTTGAAGAAATGGGACACGTGCTTGCCAGAGATCCAGCTGCCCCCTCACAATCCCCCAACCCTTCTCCCAGTATTTTGTGAGCCTTCAGTGTCCAATGGAATGCTCCTGTCCCTTCTTTGGTTAGTAAAGGTTTCCCATCGTGCCAAAAACAGTGTGACAAAGACCAGTCAAAACCTCTTTTTTATTATTTTATGGCAGATAGCAGTTGACTTCTCAGTCTGGGGAGTAGTGGGGGGTGGTGGCAGGTGTTGACTGCAAGCAGTGTCTCAGTGAATCATTTATAGTAATTTGATTATAGGTATTAAGAATTAGAGTTTCTGGTTTATAGTTAGTTTGGTAGGGATTTTGTTGTCTAGTCAAAAATAGTGTGGCAAAATTGCAGTTGAACATGGTCTGGAGTAGTTCATCATGGTTTTGGGGGAGTGGGGGCTTGTGCCACACCCAAAAATTATTTTTGTACTCCTCAGACTTCTAGAGGCAGGTACATTTTTTATTTATTTTTCACAACCAGCAATGCATTAATTTCTCAATGATTTATTAAAACATCTGAGTTGATTGGTTTTTGATTCTAATATTAAATAACACATTTTTGTTTTATAGAACTTCAGGTTCCATTGTAAAACTGCTTGATGTAGTCTGCCCTCCTGAAAGAAGAAGGGTCATTAAGGTTGGTTTAAACTTTGAATGACCAAATAGAGAAAACAAAATTCTTTTTGTGTGAACTCCTGCTTTATGATTCCTTTTTCTTTTCACAAATTATCCATTATTAATGCAGTTAATTTGATTTGTTGTATCCTGTATACTTGTCTACAGGTATCTTAATAAGCATTTGATCTGATTTTTATTTTTCAACAGAAACAACCAAATGGTGATGCCTTAGACACGGCAAGAGAATTTTCCTTAAAACACAACATTCCTGTTCACTACTGGATTGGAAAGGAAGGATGGGAACCTCAAAATGGGTAAGAATTGTATTGTAACTAGCAAAAGTAACATCTTTTTAGTTGATTAAAATTTTAATTGTGCATAATAAATTATTATAACTACCTGCATTGCCTTAACACATTTGCCTCTTGAGTGGGGGTCAGAAGGTACTATACAGTTAAGGAACTACCAATTTTATCTTAAGCACTTTTATCAATCAAACTAGGAAGAAAAAAGAAAGAGGAAGCAAGGATTTTTACTGAACAACATTGTAAAAGGAGAACATTTTCCTACTGCTTTACCCAAGATAGCAGGGGCTGATGTAGGCAAGGAAGGCACATCTAGTTCTGAGGCACATCTCATCCGTTGCCGCGAAAACTTTGTCGGTCAAAACAGTTTCAATAAGTGGCAACAAAATCGTTGAGACACTGTCCTCAAACAGGGTAACTTAGGAGAACAAAACAATCCATTGACTGGTTATGTATTTTTATAGGCCTTTCCATTGAAATAACCACATGCATTTGTTTTTATTGGTTCTGATTCCCCCAATCAGTAGTTTATTGTATAGTCCTCATCTACATATTTACGTGATATCATGTATTCTTTGCCTTCATTGCACTAAAAACTGGTGTAAATTATTCAGTTACATGTATTTTTGACAGTCTGATATTATTCTGATAATTCCTTTTTAGACCAACTGGTCCATTTGATATTGGAGTTGTTGCATCATTTGGTTACTTGATACCAAATCATGTCCTGGATATGTTTCCATGGTAAGTATATACAAAAATAATAATATTGTGTTCAACTTCTCAGGTACTCGGGTGTAAATGTGACAGGGAAGTGCAAATCAGTTTAAAGTGTGAAACCCTGTTAGCCTACCCTGGGTTCCAGAGGATTTTTTTTCTTATCGATAATGAAGCCGCGTTAAAGCAAAAATCTTATCGATAATGAAGCCGCGTTAAAGCAAAAAAAAGGGGCGAGGAGAAAAAAAAATTTTTTTCTCCTCGGCGCTTTGCGCCTCGTTAACGCGGCTTCGCCGCGAACCATCAGTGTCCATAAGAAAAAAATATCCTCTGGAACCCAGGGTACTGTTAGCCCAGACTATATTTTGAAACTTTTCACGTTTACAAACATAATACCCCCTTGCCGGCAAATTTTTAAATTTAGGAATGGATATCATGTTCTGGATGATAAGTCCCAAAATGACCACCCCTTGGACAGAGCATAGTTTACCCATAATTGGTAGACACGTACGATATGCTCCAAAAGGCTCCCTGCTTCATTTATTGCCCCCATTGAGGCAAAAAATGATAATTTAATACTCCTTGAAATTCACACCCCCACTAACCCTCTCCTAAGAAAGAAAAATCACTGAATACACAGTCTAAAAGTTCACTATGAGAACTTAAAATGAGGGACATTAGAGAAAACTGGACTCATGAAAAAGTGATAACACACAGATTTGGTTTTCTTCTTATAGTTACAGTCTTGTTTACAGTTACTGTTTGTTTTACATGTACTGGCAATAACACAATGTTATTTTGAGGCCAAAATTGGAAAAATGAAAAAATCAGGCCCTTTAAATAAGCCTTCTCCTCCATCCCACCTTCAAATATGTGCCCTCCTCTTGACTCAGAAAATTTGATAAGCATCCCAGCAGCTAATTTGAGCTTTTGCAGTACTAGGTACTCTTTGATCAATGAGTTTAGTAAACACCTATACAGTGGAATAAACTTGAATTTACAGATACATGCACTTCTTTTTTCTTTTTAGTGGTGCCATAAACATTCATCCATCTCTTCTACCTCAGTGGAAAGGTGCTGCTCCTATGTCACATGCAATACTGAGTGGAGCAAAGGAAACAGGAGTATCCATTGTTGAAGTTTCCAGAGACAGGTGTGTTCAACATTGTGAGTAGGTCTATAATGAATCATGAGTGCTGTTACAGTGTGCCTATTAAGTGATTTGAACAGGATTTGTTGAAGGTATATGTGTACCTGAGGAAAAAAAACTTGATGGGCTAAGATACAACTGTATATGTTACACTGGTTAAAATTAAAATTCCAAAATAAATTATTCAGGTTAAGCTTTTTTAACCTAGGTTGATTCTCTTCTAGCTTCCTTTGTCTCTTAACATCGCTAATTCATAAAATAATAATAAGGAATAAGAGAAAAAGGAAATAGAGAATCAACCAAGGATAAATCAAAATTAGCCTGAAATCAAATTTGACTTGTATTTAAACATATGCAGTCAATTCTCTCGAAGATGGACACCTTTGGGGCCCACACTATGTGTCCGTCTTAGAGACATGTCTGTCTTATATAGAATCAACTAAAAGGAGTAAAGAAAGGCAGGGACCAACTCCCAAGTGTCCGTTTTAGCAAGCTGTCTGTCTTAAACAGGTGTCCTTTAAGAGAGAGTTGACGGTACCTCCAGAGTTTATTAAAGGATGAAATTAACATAGTCATTTTCACACTAAGGACAGCAGAGTGGCTGTAGGTTGTGATGACAATGAAAATGGTGATAATGGTGAAGATGAGAAAGATGATGATGATGGCTTTCTTTTCCAGACTGGCTTTCTATTTTCGTTAATTTTTTAGCTCTAAAGTAACTAGGCTTTCAGTACTGAATAGTTAGTAGGCTTTTGATCATTTATTAGTTAATAGGTTCTCTTGATTATATTGTTAAGTGTCCCCAATTAGTAGAGGGGTATTACCCTCGGCTAGCTACTTTGACAGGTTAATAAAGTTTTTGATTGATTTATATATTAGTTGATTGACATTATGTTGATGATAATGTTTTGAATAATAGTTATGTTGATGATGGCAATGATAATGATGATGATGGTAATGTTGATAAATGATGATGATGATGATCATCATCAATTAATTTTTTCATATGCCTTGTTGTTTAACTCACCTTTGCAATCCTTCCAGGTTTCAATACATTAAACCCTAAAAATGTACTAAAAGTAAGAATGTTATTTAAATTAGCTAGCCTAAGGGTATTTCAATTTTAGACAACCATTTCATTTTGATCATTAGATTTGATGCTGGTCAAAATTTGCTTCAGGAGAAGTACAAGGTTTGGAGACCTTTATATATCTATCAATATCGCGAACTAGTGAATGCTTTTTTAGCCTGCGTAGCTCAAGTTTTCGAGTTTTGTTCTCTTGTCCTGCTTAATTTCTAGACTATTAACTAGAATGTTTTTTTTTTCTTGGAACTATTAATTTGAATCAATAATTATTAAATACCCTAAATTAATTTGATATTTTTTATTTATGATTATTATACCTCTTAACCTTATTACTTGTACTTAGCTTATTCTTGTCATCTATTTAACAATTAATGAATGAGGCTGAGTATCTTATGAAAAATTATGGAGATTGAGGAGGTGTTATCGGATAACACCCTCCTCAATTTCCATAATTCTTCATGTCATACGAAAGCCGAATTCAATAATTGTTTTATTATTCATTCAAAATCATTCCTAGTTTAAAAACAAAGCTAAAACGTGCCTACCTCCATCGATGTTAAGTTCACCTTCGATAGTGCATGTCTAGGGTTGTTCAGCTCTGCAAATATTCTCCTTCGAGTTGTGTTCTTGCTGTTCTTGCCATGTTTTTAGCTATAATTTCGCCTAGTTCTTACTCTTGAAACGAGTTAAATGTCCGCCATTTTTTGTTTTCACAACCAAAACAACTCATCCTCATCCCCAGGTCTTCTCGGTTAACGGTGCATTAACCTGCAATTAAGAACGCTGCATTTTTGACGTCATTTCCTCGTTAAACACAAAATTCTTCCAAATTTGGTCATCAGTAACTGGTTATGGTGAATTATGCGTGTGCTTTTAGCCAATCAGAATCGGGAAATATTTTGAATAAACAATGTTAGTTATCGCTCGAAAGTTTTTCGATTTCCTTCCAACTCTTTCGACGAACTAGCGCGGAGACTATTGCTACCCTGGCTAATGTTTTAGAAGTTTGTAAACCGACAAATTGTTCTGATTTTTTTTATAGATACCAGAAGACATCATGTATGACGAACTCTCCGATCAGCTTGCAATCCTTGGTACTAAAATGGTTTGTATGTTTTGTAAGATAATATGAGGACGCTCTATGAATACATGTAGGTAGCTTTCTAACAGTGAGAACTGGATTTTCTATTGTCGCGTTTGGCAACATATGATGTTGTTGAGGAAACGGATTACAACTTGTTGAATGTTTCAAATAAATATTGCCAAAACCTACAGTTACTTGCTTTCCTGCCAAAAATGTACTTGAAATGATTGTTTACCTCATTTTGATGTTCAGGCGATGAATCGGTCGTCACTTCATCGAGGCATGGAATAGCCTATAAGCGCTTTTTTCTCTGTACTCTTAAACTGACTTAATGCCATCTTTTTAGTTGATGTATGCTCTTGAAAATCTGGAGGAATTACGGAACGATCCAGTACAGCCAAATCCGCATATCAAAACTAGTTGGGGTAAGTTTCTTTGAGATTCTAGCAGCATGATTTAGCTGAAAGAGTATGAGAAAATCGTCCGCGCATCCATGTTATACGGCATCAACTTTTAACGCACCGTGAGAATCTGTTCACTTTATCCGTTGCGCCACTGCCGACGTGGTTATTTAGCATCTCTTTTGACTCCCTCTGTTGTACAAATGGACGCAAGAAAAAACACGCGCGTCTCCCTCGCGCGCGCCCGTTCTTTCCTGCGCCCATTTACTTCCTAGCGCCTGCTGCGCAAGTCTTGCGCAGGCTATCTTTTGTAAGGCGGACAAGTCTTCCTATTAAAAAGACGGTCATTTTTTTTTATTTTGATTGATTGATTGATTGATTTGTTCGTGTATTTATTTATTTATTTACATGTCTTTTTTTTTTACTTTTTCTCCCAGCTCGCCGCTTGACTAAAGAGGTTGGTTATATTGACTGGACATACCACACTTGGTCTTACATCCGAAGACGATGGAATGCACTTTCTTCCAGAGTAAGTTATACGACAATTTTTCCGTACTTTTTGTTCACATATGAATGTGAATGTATTTATTCTATCTTATTATTCTTGATGTTTTTTTAGGTTGGAGTTCAGACCAGCTGGGAAGGAAAGAAAGTCAAGCTGATTAAGATGTCCAAGGATTTCCTTAGTCGTGAGTAACAACATGCAGAACATTTAACCGCTTTTCTATGGCAATGCGCTGACTGGTTTCGAGACTAGACTTCAGGGGCACCCAATGGATCTGTTCCTAAAAACATCTGTTCTTCAGGCAAATTTTTGCTGGCTGGGAGATTGGAAAAAATAATATGTCCTTGGGAGGAAGGTCAAAGTGTTGCTGGGAAATAAACAATTCAGGGTGTCTAAGGAGATTTGTAGTCTAGAATAGCTGGTATGTGCTATTTGTCAGAACCTCCCCCCACACTGAAAGGGTGAATTTCGCCCTATGACACACTTTTTTGCGCAATGCCATTATTTTTGTCATGGAATCACGAAACTGAGCGGTGAAACTGCAGCAAAAAAAATATGAAGGCGAAGGAGGCCACGCTCTGAAGCTCTCTGAATTGCTACCAAGCAATTATGGTCAGCCCGGCGAAAATGATAACTCTTAACTTAACCTTTTATAGACTGATGGCAGTCACAGAGGCGCCTTATGTATTGAGTTTGATGGCATACATGTGCTCCTTTTTTCTGTAGTCACACCTGAAGAGAAGCTTTCCACACTCCCAGGAGAAGTGAAATTTGATAGAGATCTCGATACCCTCTTCATTAGATGCCAGGTAGAGATTATTGATTAAACGCAACAAAATAGTTTGCTCATGGCCAAAAAATCTTATTCATAATAAAGCACACGAATAAACAGCGAAACGAGCCAGCAAATGTGACTCGCTGGCATGCAAACGCGGAGCGTTTTCACTAACGTGTTTCACTCTTTGTTCCTTCTGGTTGCGCATTGTTGATCTCATCTCAAGTCTCAAAAATGATGACAGCCCATTATTGTGTTCTCGAAGACCATAAATTATATCGTTGTACCGTAGGGCCTAGCCACGCTTTCCAACGAAGCGATGCTGGGATCTGCTTAGGAGGCTAGTCATTACTAGGTTTTTAATTATTTTGTTTTTTGTTTAAATTTCATAACAGGACGGTTGGGTTGGAGTCACGGAGCTGCAGTTTGAAGCCAAAACTGTCATCACTGCTCGGGATTTTGCTAACTCGTACCTTCGAATCAGTGCTTTACAAGGCAACACGAAGAAATGTTTTGAAAATTTACCCTGGAAGGACAGGTAGCCATGAAGTAGCTGTTTTCGCTTGGCGAAGACAGGGAATTCACCTAGCAGGGCATCAGGAATAAATAATATTTATTTTTTTTATCTTCAATGGAAAAAATGCATTTTTATTCAAAAGGAATGGAGTACGTCTAGTGTAGCTATACAGCTTAGTCTGTGCAAAATAAATGCTTGAAAGGTTCATTCGAATAGTTACACAAAGTATTTTTGATAGACGGACTCACGTAACAGGTGTCTCAATAATTAGCACTGGGAGAAAAAGAATTATCTAGTACCTTATTGCTACTTATTTTCCCGGGTCCTTAATTTCGCGCGTTTTTCGTGATTGTAAAAAATCGCGAAATTAAAGACCTGCGAAAATAAATCCTCTCAAAATTTAATACCCATATGGAAAATTCAAATAGCAATCAACATGTGATAGCAACGATATGTATCAACAAACACAAATCGCTTTCTGGTTCTACTGGTATGTTCTATTTTATATATCTTCCTTTGTGAAATGACTTTAGCTTGCAAAGATTTCACGCATGGCTTGTTCCAGTTTATCGAATTTGTTTCAACTTTCAGACTTTTTAAAAGAAGCAAATGCAGTTGAGAACGCTTAAATCGCGAAATTTAATGCCCTTTTTTCATGTTTACTTGTTACAATCGCGAAAATAATACCCCAGGAAATACTGTGTCGCAAAAATTGCGAAATCAACTACCGATAAGGTTTTAAAAAGGAGTACAACCTCGGAAAGCCTAACTTAGTATTTAATCCAGTGTTTGCATATTGTGTACATATTATGTAAGATTCGTTTTTTTTCTCTGAAGATACTGATTAAAAAAGAATAATCCAGTGTTTTGCCGTTCAACGTATTTTCTCATACGCGTCAACTGTGACCCCAATTTACCAAAGACCTCACTCCCACAATTGACCTTAGTAAATCAGTGAATTATTGACCAGTACGTTGGTGGCCGGTTTAAAAAAAGAAATCGAGCGATAACATTTTTCTAATTCATACAGTCAAAGATTTCTAACGCTTCACGTTTCATTCACCCCGTCACTTCAATAACAAATTATGAGGGAAAACATCATTTTAAATGGCCAAATTAAATTTTAAACTTCGCGCACGTCCATTCCAAACGTGGAAAGTCAGATATGTTTATCCTCTTTAATTTGTTTACCCAAACAAAGTAAATTCGCCACCAATTAAATCGCCAATTTCCTTCATTTTCAGTTTTTGGACACGTGACATGTCACGTGAGCATAATTAAACGTTAAGGCACAAGAAAACCTCATGATTTACTTTTGGGGAAAAATTCCTTTTGTTCTAGATTTCTTAGCGAGAGATATTTCCAATCATTCATATGCTCCGAACACACCTCTGACCGAGGTATTAAACACCTTGAATACTGAAATCCGACCTACATTACTGTCACTTGATCACTTATACTCTCCTGATTACTTCGCAGGTCTCAGTTGAACTAGACTGCAAAACAGTCGGTTTTTTTCGCAAAATCAGTAAAGAAATCGGTAAAGCGTGGCGCGAAGCGCGCGAGTCTCTCTCTCCCCCAGTCTCGCTCTCTGTTTTTAGCCTCGTTCCAGACCTTTTGTTTGACTGCTCGCGCGTGCTTGAATACGCAAAAATACGGACTGTTTTGCAGTCTACAGTTGAACTGGAAAGAACTGACTCGAGACAGATTAAAGTGGCGCAGCCTCATCAGCGAGGGTGCTGAGCCAGTAGATAAAAAGCGTACGAAGGGAAAACATCTAATGCGTAAATCCCGCTTAGTCATGCAGCACCTCATCGACCTCTGCTGACATCATGTGCTTCACTTGTGCAGACACTTTCGTGCTCTGATTAGTCTCCTTAGCCGCCTCCGAACTCACAGAACGTAAGTAACGGCCGGCATCATGGGAGAAGTCATGGTCATCGGAATGAAAACAAATATAGTATAGAAAGATTGGTTGTTTTATCGGCCTTAATTTGCAAACAAAGCTGTAATAGACCATCGCGTAGCTTGAGGTTCCATTGCAATCAAATGATGAATTGAAGATGAATGAAGAAGTATTTGTGTCCGAGGCACGAGAACGCAACCCCTAATTTCTGTTGGGCGTTCTGTACATTATTTAGTTTCCTGTGCAACTAATAAGCGAGGTTGTCAGTTTGTGTCGACACACATTTGCCTCGCTTTGAGGTGCTTTATGACGCACTAACTCACATGGTGATTCGCTGGAAAGTGCGTCACAGGCCATAAGCTTGCTGACGCCTACACTGGTTGCCATTCAAGGAATCGTATCTTCATTGAGGAAGTACCGAAAGCTCAGCAGTAAGCACGTGTCATGTGATCATCTGGATCATCTGGACGTCAGACTTGTGTTATGATCGATGTAATGAGGTTTCTAAAGCAACGGTTATTTTCGAGTCTGTGTCAGCTAAAGAATAAAGTCCAGAAAAATCCTCTGTTATTTTGGTTCATACTTGCCTCATCCATTTTCCCATTGAGTGTTAACTAAACCGTGCCTTTCGTGGGATTATAAACTTCCTTTTTCTTCAACTCTCCTAATTCGTCCTCCTAATCATTATTCCATTACGTCACCACCAGAATTTTATCGGGTCAATTGCAGTGAGGTGATATTAAAACTAAGTATCATAGACCATCTTTTCTCATACTTAATTCATTCAGGGGGAAAACAAAGCAAAATTATTTTGTTTTTTTTCTGTTACCTTTCGACAGGACAACAATCTAACCAAAGGTATCGATCCACTTACTGTTAAGGCCGGCCAAACTCGTACCCAGTCGCCATTTAAGTGTTTTTTGGGGTGAGAGAAGATTGGGGATTAAGTTGAGGCGCGCGCGGGGTCTCATCCCCCGCGCGCGCCTCAACCTAATCCCCAATCTTCTCTCACCCCAAAAAACACGTAAATGGCGACTGGGTACGAGTCTGAAGGCCGGCTATGAATTCAGGGCGGAAAAACGTAATGAGCATGCGTGGACTTTTCAGCCCAGATCCCCTGGCCGGGTTTGAAAAAATGAGCTCACTATATTAGTGAGCTCACTAGTACTTAATAACAGTGTAACATAGCTATTTATCTATTTAGTTCTCGTACCATAGCTAAATGAGTATTTACCACTTACTTAATGCTATGCATTCTTATTAAAAAATAACTAACGTATTTGTTGCTATTCTTCCCGCAGCTGCATGTAGTTTACGCTCAATGAACTGATGTGTAGTCATTGAACCACTGGTGTGGTTATTGATCTGTTGTCTACTTATTGAACTGCTGTGTCGTTATTGAACTAACAAAACAGAAAACCGCCCTGAAGGCTATGAAAGGCTATGCATTATTTGAGCCTAGAGTCCCAAACAACTGTTGCATACCTCCTTGAAATTACTAAAATCCACATTATCCTGGGTCGTCGCAGTTGTAATAGCAACTGAATTAAAACATTTTCAACTTAACTTTATTAACTGCGACGATCATATCTGCATTTAGGTTTTTGTACTTCCTCGATTCAAATCATCATCTTCATTTATCAGTATCTAAAAAGGTCCATTAATTTCCTGATGAGCGGCCTCGTAGCGTTGTCATCTATAGACTAAATGCATCATTCGCTACGTTTTGACTTCAACCGTACTATGACAAAGCAATATTCACTGTGGGTTTGGGCAGCGCAAACTCTGTAAGTGCAGTGTAGATCTGTAACAAGAGCATTGAGAAATAATCTTAAAACACAAAACAAGACAACGGCGAAAGAAAATGTTGATGTACATACTCCTATGCCTGAATCATAATTTTCGCTCATTTGTTGATTTAATTTTTAATCCATTTCGTACAGTTAAAGAGGAAGTGAGCTATATTTAAACCACAGATCGTTTTCATATGACGTCACGGCGGCCATATTGGGGTACAAAAAAATTAAAAAGGTGGCATGTGGGATTGAAGTCTTTTCTCTTGTAAAACAGTTTCCGTTTGTTCCAAGAAATTTGCATAGCTGCTGACCACGTGAGTGAAAACGATCCAAATGTAAAGCCGATATGAATAACTGGGGTGCTAACATGTTTAGTAACTGTGTCACCTCAACCTCATCCCCCCACCCCTTCACCCCCTTACTTTTACGCTGCACAAAACACCATTTGCAGTCAAGAACGAAACACACTCTAGTTAGATGAAACAATTTATTGTCGGTAAGGTATCCGGGACGAACACATCGATAGCAACACATAACCCTGAGTGAACTGGCAGCGCTTTCTCTAAGGCCAGAAGACACCTTGTCCTTCATTGATATCCTTCAAGTCACCACCGTAAAACCCCAAAATTTTAATTTTAGTCAATTAAAAATTAATGCTGAAATGCCTCTCTGTATGATCTGTCAGATACTTTCTCATTCCTTAGATGCATTGTCAAAAATGATTAGATTTAATTTAATGCTCCCGTTGTTTTCTAGCGGTAAATTTCCTCTTTTTTCTTTTAAACTAAATCCATCTTGAACACTATAACAGTCCTTCAGTTCACAGTTGTGAAATCAATTTCCTTAATTTTCTGCGCTTGTGTTTACTAACATCCTCACCATATAGTGAAAGTATAGTGAAAACCAGTGGAAAACAACAATAGAAGTTCTAGACAGGCGAAATCGAGTGAAGCAAATGATGAATTTACATTGTTTAAAACTAGGTGTACCTATCGATAGAGTGCCAACGAGCAAATCATGCGTATTTTGCATAAGAATGGATTCCTGTTTCCAACATTTGACAGTTTCTTGGTCCCTTCCTGTTGAAAAGATTATTTTCTTGAAACTATTAAAGGTGCTATTCAAGTATAAAGGTTCGGAGAAGAGTCAGTCCTCAGACTCCTGTGGCTTTACGAACCTGCTATATAAAAGTTTGAAGTGTGATGAGGCATACTTTTTTGAAAGAATAAAACAGATTGCAGAGGAAGCGATCGGTAATATTTAGGGGGAAATATAAAAAATGATCGTTTCTCTGACCACTACAAAACTTATAGTGTCAGTTCGGTTTCACTTTGTAGAAAAATCTTTGTGCAGTTTAATCATTTAAACCTCCTCTGAAATTTCCCGAGGCTTTTTGTCCAGTTCCCGATTGAATTTTAGAACGATTCGCGGCGCTGCTTGAAATGTTTTCAAGGACATGCGATGTACGATACGTCGGTATTTTGGTTTCACTTTAAATTC